CTATATATGTTTGTGTGTGTGTGTGTATGTATATATATAGAGAGAGATCTATGTATCTATCAGGTCTGTTAAAAGAAAGTTGTTAGCTGTAAAAGTTTATGTCCTGCAATTTATTGCACCTTTATTAATTTTAGAACTCCCTTACAACAGTGCTGTGCCATCCATAAAATGTTAATGACACAATAAAATATTGGCTGTGAGAATGAAGCAGGGGTTCATGAATACACGGGGAAGCAGACACGGTGTCCTGGTCTGAGGAACACAGAACTGATTTATCTTCTAATACTTGGGAAGACTGCACTTTTAGAAGAATCTAGTCTCTGAATGTGAAAATATTTACTTTATAGCCAGCTATGGTGTGTGGGTTTCAAGGTCTCAGTGTTTTCGAGCTCACCAGGTGCAGGGATGAGGAGGAGCGAGACCCGGGCACTTGACCCAAGCTGGCCAACAGGATTATTTCATACCATCAACATCACATTCAATATAAATTAGAAAGTTTGCTGTGAAGTTCTCTCTCTCCCTTGATGGCTGCAATCCTTAGAACTCCTTGCCCCGGTGCCGGAGCCCTGAGCCCTTCCCTTCCTCCCGAAGCCACAGCATTTGCAGTGTCCCACATTTGCAGTGCACAGCTTCCCACTGATAGAATGGGCAGAGCATAATCTTTGCATATTGTGTATTAGTATCGGGATCAATATTGGTTCTTTAGTGCTATTAATGTTAATTATCTAATCTTATTCTGTTAAATCTGTTTATATTTCAACCCTTGGGTTTCCTTGTTTTTTTCCTGATTCCCCTTCCCAGGTGGGGAGGGGCCATCAGGTGATAGAATGATTATTCCAATGACAATAAATTGTTATGGGCTTCTCAAACCATAACACACAGGATGGAACAGAACCCATAAAGGAATAAGTCCAGGTGGAGACACCTGTGTATCATGGTCACTTCCAGATTCCTCCTAGGTTTGGACAAGGAAACATGGTTGGCTGCTTTCAACAAGACGAGCAGAAAGTGCAGAAGTTACAGTGAGAGCCTTTCAGAGCACCGCAAGTCTGAGTAAAATAAGGTGAATTCTTGCACAGGATTTACTAGGAAGAAAAGAACCAAACCCCATTTTCAAGGCTCCATGTACAAATCAGGTCATAATCTGATGATCTAAAGCCTTTTAAATGCAATACATACAGACTTTAAAAGCATTTAGAACTTCTTCTTCTGAACTGATACAGTTACTGGTATGGATGCATGTATACATATATGTATATATAAATATATCTGCCTGGTTACAAAAGCTTAGAGGAGGGAAAAGTTATGCTGAAAAAAAATATTTTCCTATGGAATGGAAGTTCTACATTTCTTGCACTTTCATTTTTTTGCTTTATTTCTTTCAATGAAGACAGAAATTCATAGGGCTTTTTAAGATTAATTATTTTATTGTCCATGTTTTTGTGGGTACACCTGAATAACTCCTGTATAAGCTCACTAGGTAGTGAGCACACCTTTACATCCAGTTACATCCAGTGAGAATGGATCTTTTCCACATACACCAACATTCAAATGCCTCATCGGGCAGCTTTTATATGAGTTCTGTAAGTGGATCATTGGATAAAAAACACCTTGATTTATTTAAATTACATCGTTTCTGAATCTGCTCACATAAAGATGCGCAGGCAGCTTGCAGTTTTTGACTTGCTGCACAAATAAATTGCGCTCTTGTTCCCAAGCAAGCACCTCACCAGGGAAGTTCTGACAACATCTCCAGGTGTAAGTAGTTACAGATGTGTATTGGATTTTTTGAAGTGAAAAAAGGATTAGCCTAAAGGTGTTATTGAAAAGTCATTGAAAGGTGGCTAACCAATTTCAGGGAAACAAAGCTAGCACGGAGATAACTCATGGTTCATGTCTACAGTTTAGGTGACTTATGAGTCATCCAGCAAACAGGTTTACTTTGGGACACTACATTGACCAAAAGCGGTTTCTTTTCCAATCAAATGGAAAAACAAGTCTATTTTAAAAAGTTTGTAACAGTGAACTACGTCTCCTACTTAAGCATCTAGAACTGGAAAGATCCAAGAGACACAAAATTTTCCAGACTGGACTCTTAGTCAGGTAACTGCAGGAGAAATACTTGCGTTTCAGTCACGCTAAGCATCTGAAACTACTACTGTCTTGACACGTAAATGATGATCCGAGGGCTGGAGCACCTCTCCTATGAGGAGAGGCTGAGAGAGTTGGGGCTGTTCAGCCTGGAGAAGAGAAGGCTCCGGGGAGATCTTATTGCAGCCTTCCAGTACCTAAAGGGGGCTACAGGAGAGCTGGGGAAGCACTTTTTACTAGGGCATGTAGTGATAGGACAAGGGGGAATGGCTATAAACTGGAAGAGGGCAGGTTTAGATTAAACATTAGGAAGAAGTTTTTTACTTTGAGGGTTGTAAGGCACTGGCACAGATTGCCCAGAGAGGTTGCTGAGGCCCCATCCCTGGAGGTGTTCAAGGCCAGGCTGGACGTGGCCTTGGGCAACCTGGTCTGGTGGGAGGTGTCCCTGCCCATGGCAGGGGGGGTGGAACTTGATGATCTTCAAGGTCCTTTCCAACCTAAACCATTCTATGATTCTATGAGTCTATGAAATACTGGCCTTTATATTGGCATTTTATCATTTAGTACAGAGATGTAGCTCAGATCTGGAGACAGGACTTTTGCTTGGGAAACATACATATAACACACAAATGAAGCAGTAGACATTAAAAAAAAATACAGAAAATCGTTAGTTTTTAACATATGGGAATAATGAAGTCAAACTTGAGGGATGAATTGGGTTACGGTGTTCTAAAACACTGAAAGAAGTGCAGTAACACTGTCATTCAGCCCAGATACCTGCCTTTCCAGACACAGCTCTGAGGTAAGTCAACCTTGGCCATGCTTACAGATGTATGATCTGTCAGATTGTTGGTTGACAAGCACCTCTCCTACAAAGACAGGCTGAGAGAGTTGGGGTTGTTCAGCCTGGAAAAGAGAAGGCTCCAAGGAGACCTTATTGTGGCCTTTCAGTACTTAAAGAGGGCCAACAGGAAAGATGGGGAGGGACTCTTTATCAGGGAGTGTAGCAATAGGATGAGGGGTAATGGCTTCGATCTGAAAGAAGGGACTTTTAGATTAGATATTAGGAAGAAATAAATTTCTCACTCTGAGGGTGGTGAGGCACTGGCCCAGGTTGCCCAGAGAAGCTGTGGCTGCCCCATCCCTGGAGGTGTTCAAGGCCAGGCTGGATGGGGCTTGGAGCAACCTGGGCTGGTGGGAGGTGTCCCTGCCCATGGCAGGGCGTTGGAACTAGGTGGTCTTTAAGGTCCCTTCCAACCTAAACCATTCTATGATAATATCACAAGCACTGAAATGTTTCTTAGAAATTGAAAAAGCATGAGAGTGTCTTAAACCTATTAAAATGAGTTACAGTTTATGTATTTTCTGAAATCTTGTTCATGAAAATATACAAAGCCATCAAAGATTTAGGAAAAACAAAAAAGTAAAACTGGCTGAAACTTGGGAAGAACATATTTATATAAAGAAGTAAAAGACTGAGGCCGCACCTGACCATTGCAAAAAATGCCTTAAGGTGTGCTGTGACTGGAAATATCTGTGTGCAGCTTATGACGCTTCAAGGTAATGTAGGTGGCAACACAGGTTGTACCATGGAGAATGCCGTAACGTGCAATGCCTGACAAGGCCTATCACCCACCTGCACCAAGTAGGGACCACAGAATGTGCTCGTCTTTAACAGCAGGTCTTTAACTAGTGTTTGGTTATGTTAAGGAGGCTGCCAGCAGCCAAGAATATTTATCAGAGGAGAGGCTGCTGACATGGCAAGTGTCTGTGGCTTGCTGATGAGAAGGCCAAGGGTATAAAAGGCTAGGAGGTACCAGAGGCTGGGCTCACTTTGGAATGAAAGGAACAGCAAGTACGCTTGAAATAGGGGCAAGGAGAATCGCTCTTTTCTGAAAATGTGAGGTGCAGAGAGAGGTACAGGAGGGAGATGGACCTGGGGGAGGCAGAATCTTCATGCCGACTGGTATTTAGGGAATTCAGTATTTAAATGGGGTCCCAATGGAACAACGCAGTAAGCAACCACAGAGAAGGAACATTATCTACATCAGTCTGAGATGGTGAAGGACAGCATTACTCCCTGTTGGTAAGTTGTTCAGCTCCCTCTTTCACATTTCATTTCTCAAGCCTGCTCCTCAAGAGATCAACTGCCACGGTGAGCAGGACTAGGGAAGTGACCATCCCCCTGTACTCAGCACTGATGAGACCCCACCTCAAGTACTGTGTTAAGTTTTGGGCCCTTCACTACAAAAAAAAGACATTGAGGTGCTGAAGCGTGTCCAGAGAAGGGCAACGAAGCTGGTGAGGGGTCTAGAGGACAAGTCTTATGAGGAGCGGCTGAGGGAACTCGGGTTGTTCAGCCTGGAGAAGAGGAGGCTGAGGGGAGACCTTATTGCTCTCTACAACTACCTGAAAGGAGGTTGTAGAGAGGTGGGGGTTGGTCTCTTCTCCCTGGTGACAAGTGATAGGATGAGAAGAAATGGGTTCAAGTTATGTCAGGTGAGGTTTAGATTGGCTATTAGGAAAAATATTTTCACTGAAATGGTTATCAAACATTGGAACAGGCTGCCCAGGGAGGTGGTGGATTCACCATCCCTGGAGGTGTTTAAAAAAAGGGTAAATGTGGTACTTGGGGACATGGTTTAGAAGTGGTTTTGTCAGGTTGGGTTAATGGTTGGACTTGATGATCTTAAAGGTCCCTTCCAACCTCAGCAATTCTGTGATTCCATGGACACTTCACAGCCCAGTTCCAAAAATTATGGAAGAGTCCGCCAGACTATTTGTCAGCTTTCGATAGACTGTAAAATCAAAGGGTTGGTACCCCAGACGTTAGTATCACAGGCCACGCTGTCATGTTTGTCTGAAAGAGTCCTCACGCTTTTAGCTCCAGCTGTGCACCGGGTACGCACTGAGAGCCTTCACGGCTTTGGGAGCCGGTGGGGACATCACTCGGACATCACTGACGCAGCCCCACCGGGCTTCATTCTGATAAGGGTAACTCGGGTAATTAATACAGCCCCGGCAGTAAAACACTGAACCATCCCGACGCTGCCGCCGCCCCTCCAGCCCCCGGGGAGCCCAGGCGAGCCGGGTTGGGTCGCAAGCCCCTCCTGCCCCCATGCCGGGGCACCCGGCTCCCCGCAAAGACACCTCCC